CAGGCTATGAAGCTGGAGCACGAGGGATGTGGTGTGGGTGAGGAGGCTAGAGTTGGAGGACACAGGGCAGGCACAGAGCTTGGACTCTACTCCATGGGCAATGGGGAACAACTGGAGGGAATTTGGCAGCAGACGGACATGATCAGATTTTCCTTTTAGGACCATTTCTACCCAGGGGAAATGTGGATGTGCAGTTTAGAGAAGGGAATATTTGACTCAATGGGAAGGTAATGACAGGCTAAATGCTGAGGACAGCACTGCGGCATAAGGCTGGCTGGCAAGGACATCAACCCTCCAGTAGTACAGGTCACTTAATGTGTCACTGTCGAGGACTAAACACCACCATTCAAGAGGACTGTAGAGTGCAGCATCTCAGGAAAGATGGATAGGGTACGCCCAGTCTTTTGGGCTTGTGACTAATTGTGTGATTTTCTTTTTCTTCTTCTCAGAAATTCTCCCAGAACTCACCAAAATCCTCACCCTAAGTGATCTGAGCTTAACCCAGACCCAGTCTACTCTCCCAAGAACAAGCCTGTTAACAACAGAACATCCTTATGGTACAGATCCTCTTGGTAGGTCCACTCGTGGAGACGTTACCCTATCTTGTGACTTATTCCTTGAAAATTGACTTGTTTATAAATAACCCTCTAAAATTGCTCTTGAAGCCTAAGTGGGGTTTCACAGACATTTAGACCTGCGTTCCATCAAATATAAACCATGCATGACCTTGGGATCATGCTGCCATCCCAGAATGTCAGAACATGACAAGACCTCAGTGATATTTAGTTGGACCTCCCATTTTAGAGGTGAAGCCCCTTGGTGGCACTTTTGGCTTACAGGATAAAGTATAGAAGGCTGTTCCACATCTAGCTCCTATTTACTTATTAGGATTCCCCTCTGGATACTCTGTTTTTAAACCTTCTGCTCTAGTAGCACCTTGCTGCTGAGTATCCCCAGCTATCACCCTGCCATATTACCCACCTCTACTGTCCACCTCTGCGGCCCCCTCTGCCTTCTCCCCTTCCTTCCCTTGAGTATTCCCTGATGAAATGCCACTTCCTCTTCCTCTTGACATTTAGCTAAGACACCAGCTTCTCTAAGGAGCCCAGGATGAACCCCACCCCTGGTCAAGCATCCATTCCCAGTGCTTCCATCAAAGCTTGTGCCTTTCTCCATCAATATACTTTTCATGAAATATGAAGATTGTCTGTTTTCTTGACAGTCTTACCTGCAAAGCTGAACAACTAGATGGGATCTAAAATAGGGCGCTTCTCAGAAATTCTAAGATAGGCCTGAGTATAGAGTCTACTGAGGAGATCTGACTTAGAGTTTACCCTTAAATTGAACGAGAACATTCATGGAGCAGCCACTATACACGAGGCACACTGGATAAGTTGTCATGAAGCATGTTGGCACTTTCTGCCTATAGAACTCAAGTTTCCCTGTAAAATGGGAGTTTGTAGTCTGGTTGGCATTTGAGAGCTTTCTCACCTCCAGTATTTTATAATTCCATGACTTGTGCAAATCACTTATAAGAGGCAAAAGTAAACTGAAGTACACTTCAACTATAACTCCAACACTCATTCATCAAAAATTCAAGCACCGTTTTTGTAAGCTCCCTGGCTGGCCAGCTCTCCTAGCTCAAAATGCTACAATTCTCTCTTGCAAGGAATGTGTAACTAAGTGAAAATCTACTTGGCTGAGGTCATGCACTAGACTATACCTCTAACTTAGAAAAGAAAAACTCATCAACCTGTTTGGGTGTCTAAACTACAGAATAAAAGAAAATTCTGTAGGGTTCATTTGAGCCTTATGTCTATGAGGAGAGAAAGGCTTTTTAAGTAACTACACAGAATGAAGGATATATCTAATTGTCCTGATATCTGTTAATGAAAACAAACCACCCCAAAACTGAGTGGCCTAAAACAAAAAAACAATTTTATGGGATAGGAATTTGGACAAGGCTCAGCTGAGTTCTTCCTCTGTTCCACAGGGCATTGATAAGAGTCATCTGGCTGCATCTCACCAGTGGCTGGTCTGGTCTGGAAGGTACTGATTTTAGCCCTGCAGGAACGGCTAGAAGGCTAGGCTTAGCTGGAACTGTCAACCAGAGTGTCTACATAACGTGTCTGCAGCAAGAAAGTGTTGGGGTGTAGACTAATCACATGAGGGCTCAGTGCTGCAAGAGTAAGTGTTCCCATAAATGAGATAGATAGATCATGATCTTTTACGACACAACCTCTGAAAGCAGAGTGTCACATGTGCCACACTGTATTGGTCAAAGTAGTCATAATTTTGACCAAGGGATGGAAACATGGGCACCCCCTCTTTATGGGAAGATGTCAGAGAATGTGAGGCCAAGTTGTAAAATCTCCCATGCAACATACACTAAACCTCAACTACACACCCAATGCTATTCTAAATAATGTAGATATGTTATTAAGATGATATTTCCTGCCTGGTCCACTTCCTTGAACTCTAAACATGCCTGCGCAGCCCCCTAAACATATTGCATCTAAAACCAGCTCCTAATCTCCTTTCAAACCTGCTCTGTGTTAAGTCATCTCAGTAAACCTTGATTCCGCTCCTCCAGATGTTCCAAGTTTACAATTTGGAGTCATCAACAATTTTCTTTTTTTTTTTTTTTGGTCAAATCCATCAGTAAATCCTGCTGACCCTGCGTTTAATCTATTTGCAGAGTCTGACCATTTCTAGCCACTTCATTGCTAAAACTGTTCTGAGCCACCATCCTCTCTTACTTGAATTACTGCAATAGTGTCCTACCTGGTCAGCCAGCTTCTGCTCTTTCTGTCCCTAGTATCTATTTTCAAAACAATAGTTAGACAATCCTTTCAAAACATAAGTTGGATTGCGTCACTGCCCCGTCCACGATGCCCAGGTGGCTCTCCAACTTGCTCAGACGAAATACTCAAGTTTCAATAATGGCCTCCAGGGCCCTGTATCATCTGACCCACTGTCTCACCACTCTCTCCTTCACTTCCTCCAGCTCCAGTCATTCCTTGAACACACCAGTGAGCTTCTGCCTTGGGGCCTTTACATCTGCTATTCCTTCTCTGTAGAATGTTCTTCCCTAAGATACGCGCACAGCCCACTAATTCCCATACCTTTTCAAGCTTCTGCTCAAACGCTGCCTTCCATGACACCTTTCTTGAAACGATCCCGTTGAAAGTAGCAGTCCCTTTTCCTACCTGGCCATCCTTCTACCCTTCCCTGCTTTGTGCATGTACATTGCACTGCCTGCCATTTGACCCATATGTTTGTCTTCTGTCACTAGAATATGAGTTTTAGGAAGGCAGGTATTTTCGACTGCTTCACTGCTGCATCTGCAGCACCTAACACAGGACCTGATCACACAAACATGTGCTCAATAAATATATATTGGATAAGTGATTATTTTGTTAATTAAAAATAAAAACAAAATCCTTCTTTCAAGATGAGAAACCACTCATCTCTCTTTTGATTTTTTTCTGTCTCTGAGCAGTGAACGTTATATAGTCGTATTAGCTTATCCCATAAAAATGTGATTAACTAACAAACAGGCTGTTTTGTACATTTTTATCTAATTTACTAACATTCTTCCTGCTGTCCTATTGTAATCCTTGCTAGCGATGCTTGGCTTATGCTTGGCACTCAACAGTTGTTACCAACACACGTAAGCTCTTGTGCCAGCTCTGCTGCCAGCTGCGTGATACTGAGCAAGTGATAACATTGTCAGTTACCTCACCTTAATAAATGGGGCAGTGGCATAGACCTCACTGCCTTGTCATCAGATAAACTGAAATAATGGATGCCAGTGCAGATCCTTGCCCATCAGAGATGGCAAAAATGTTAGTTTCCTTTTTTTACAAGCATGCTAGATCTATACAGCCTGCACTTTCCGGTCGAGGAGGAGTTTCTCAAAAGTTGCTAAATAGAGGCGGGGGTGGTGGGGAGAACTCAAAGGAGGGAGATGAAGTTGTACCAACATGCCCCTGCTCACCCCTTCCAAAACTCAGCTATTTGGACTGATCTGCCCCAGAGAGAAAGATGCCCTGTGCCCTGAGACAAAGGCGAGCATTTCCTGACCAGCAAAAGCTGAAATGGATCCTCTGTCTTGATTTAAAACCAAAGGCGGGTGAAAAGCCACATGATTCACAGGAGAAAATGACTTGACTCCAAATGGATAATACGGAACTATAGAAGCAACGAACACACACACACACACACATCAAAAGGAACTGACTTACTGAAGTCGGGAATAGAGGACAGTGGAGAACTGGACATGGAAAAAGGAAGATGTGATCAGTCAGGTGTGACGTCTCCAACTATGCCAACAGCACTCCGCCATCTGAGGGGCAGGGAATGCTGGCATGGGGCAGGGGATTTCCCCATAGGTCATCTCTATTTATACAAGCACCTCTGACAGTCTCACAAACTAGTTGTTGCACTAGTAATTCTCTTTCACGAGTGAGGGACCGGGGGCTCAGGATAAACAACACACTTGCCCCAGACTACACAGTTAATAAGGAGCAGAGTCCAGTCTAGAACCACAAGCCACAAAAAGGCACTGCACAGCCAGCTTCCCAGCACCAAGCATTGCTCTCTGACCAGAAGGCTCTCTAATCACTGGAGAGTCTGGGTACAGTCCGCAAGGGCAAGTAAACACAGAGAGAAGCCAGTGAGGGCTTCCACGGTGGATCTGGAAATAGGTCAGGAGTCCTGCTGGCTGGTTAGAGCTAGGTCACATGCTGTCCTTCCTCAGTACCTCCTGTCTCCTCACACTCCAGGTGGCACAGGACATGGCACACCCCTCTTCCCTCCCACCAGCCCTGAGCAAAGCCAGTGTGAGCAGAACTGCACTGACTGACACCTGACATGTTTACTCCTGCCCAGGAGACAGGACACACAGGCAGTTTTTCCCCAGGGCTCTCAAATGGGAGAAACTTGACCTGCAAGAAAAGACACATAGAAAGCCAGCAACAAAACCGAGACGGCCTTACCTCTTCCATTGCTTTCCTCCAAGGCAGATTTGGGGAGACGAGCCCAGCCTCCCAGAGCTGGGTCCTCAGGACAATAATCTGCTTTCCTCTGCCTCTGCCAGCCAAGTAGCAATCACTTCCTACAGGACACACCTGAGCCCAGGCCCTCCACCTGCACCATCTGGGTGGAGGCTCCTCCCTTGCCTGGGGCTGGGCCAGGGCCGGCCTCCGTCCTCCCAGCTTGTCCCTGGCCAGCCTGCAGGGGGGTGGGGAGAGTCCTCTGCCTGCAGTCCTGCCAAGCCTACCTCTTCGCAGCAAGCAGCTTTTCCCATTGCTCCCCTCAGGCTGGTCTGACAGTCACTCACCCTTTAGGGCATTTCCTTTTGTGCCCGGGAGGAGGGGGGTGCAGGAATGGGAATGGCAGGCTTCTGTTAGTACAGACTGAGCGGACTGGACAGTGTAATCTCTGTTAGTAACAGCCTCCGCCAGATCCGCCCCTGCAGACGGCTACTTAATTTCACAAACCCTTTCTCACGGTCAGGGAAACCAAAGCCCAATGGGAACACGTGCCTAAGCCCACAGGGGCATTTAGTGGAGGCCAGAAAGGGAGCTAATATAAAGGAGCACCTGTTTTGGCCTGATATTTATCCATTTTAAATCCATTTAAAATGGATTCCCATTTTAAAAGGTGAAGAATGGCTGGGTGTGGTGGCTTACACCTGTAATCCCAGCACTTTGGGAGGCTGAAGCAGGTGGATTACTTGAGGTCAGGAGTTTGAGACCAGCCTGGCCAACATGGTGAAATCCCATCCTTACCAAATATATAAAATATTAGCCAGGTGTGGTGGCATGTGCCCGAAATCCCAGCTACCTGTGAGGCTGAGGCAGGAGAATTGCTTGAACTCGGGAGGCAGAGTTTACAGTGAGTCAAGATGATTGTGCCACTGCATTCCAGCCTGGGTGACAGAGCGAGACTCCATCTCAGAAAAAAAAGAAGTGAGGAAACGGAGGCTCAGTGGGATGATAACACCTGCCCACGGTCACAGGTAGAAAGCAGAAGAACTAGGGTTGGAACCCAGATCTGGCTGATGCTAAAGTATTTTATTTTGCTGGGGTTAGTTTTGTTTGTTTTTGTGACAGAGTTGGAGATGGAAACCCAAGCCTCAGTTCCCAGTTTTGGGGTTTGCAGCTTTCCTGGGGTTGGGGATGGGCTGAGTGGGTGACCTGTGCCCTGCTTCATGTGTAACCGGTGTGACTTTCTTGCTTTGTCAAGTCCTTAAAAATCTTCTCCTGTCCCGACCAGGAAGAAGAGGTGGAGGACAGGTGAGGAGACCCCACCTGAGGCCCATCTCTTCTAACAGGTGATTCCTAAACCTGGCTGATCATCAGAGCAGCCCAGGAATCTATCAAAAATACAGGAATCAAGTCTCAAACAAGACACTGCATCAGTGCTTCTGGCCCAGGGACTGGTAGTTTGGATTTTATAAAAGCCTTTTTTAGGTCACAGACCTAAATGAATGAAAGGCAGTAAAAGGATGTGCCTTTTACATCCTTCCTCAACACACATACACATAGGCTAAAATAAAAACTTCTGAAAGCAGTACTCACTATGTGTAACCGTGCAGATATTTTCCATTCTGTTCTGAGCCATGATATACCATTGAACTAAATAAATGGTGGTATGACTCTCAGTTTGGCCAACACTGCTGTGTGGACTGCTCCCACTCAGTTGAGGGGCCCCTTCCTGAATCTAAAGGGGACTCAGGCCAAAGGTCATCTGTAACATTTCCTCAGCACGCTGGTTCAAGCTCCCATGTGTATACGTTTGTAAATAAAACAATGGAGAAAGCTCTCTGGAGAACTTGGAGCCCTCCCCACAGTCCCAGCTGATGATTGGGCTGTCAAATTCCCTTTGCTCCTAGTGCAAGGACTCCCCCTAGTGGCTTCAAGCCAGCCTACACTGGCAGAGGGGGTGGAGTCAGGCAGCAGGACTCTTCCCTCCCCATTCCTGGAAGGGCTGGGAGGTCTGTGCATTTTGCTTTGGTTCAGGGCCAGCTACAGTGCCAGGTCCTAGGCACTAATCACTGGTAGCTGTTAGAGGTGGGCACTGTTTTGCCAGCAGGCTTATGAGCTATGACTCTTGAAATGGCAGAGGATCCCTTGCTGTCTTATGATCCTCTAGGTGCTAAACTCAGTTTCCCCACTAGCTGTTGTTCCTGGGAAAGTCCACTCTCAGCTGTATGTTCCTCATCTTTAAAAGTAAATAAGAGCCTTGCAGCGTTGGCTAAAGGACTCATGGCCATGGGAAAATCTCCTGATAGGGTGCTTAGCAATGAGTAAACATGGATAATGCCAGTTCCTCTCTTTCTTTCCCCTCTCCTCCTCAATTATTGGTGGCTGTGTCATTACCAAAGTGCACAGGTAGCACTTGGATGTACAATGAGGCAGCATTGTTTTATTTTCCTGTGATCATCCCTGTTTTCTCATGGGCCCCCATTCTATGAACGGCAGGCCCTTGAGTTAAGTTGCTGTAAGGAGAACTCATCCACGCCCACATGGGAGGGTGTAGGCAGAAGAGGTGGGTACAGAGTGCAGACATTGCGGGAGAGTTCTGGATGGGAAATTTGAGGGTGGACCTAAGTTGCAACAGATATCACTATACCTTGTGAATAAGTATTTCCATTCAGTAAAAATGTATGAAATCCTACTATATGCAAGGTGCTTTGGTGACCTCCTGCTAGCTTGAAGCCAGGGTGAATCTTCCTGGCCTAAAGCCAGGAAGATTCACTTAATCATGGAAAAAGAAATGACTGACCAAGCACCTATTGCCTGGTGGGACTAGTGCCCCAGACCTTGCAAGCATCACTTTATTTAGTCCTTATTATGATCCTAATTTTCCAGCTGAGGAAACTGAAGCACATACAGGTTAAGTCACCTCTTCAGGTAACACAAACAGTCAAAGATCAGAGACTTCAATCCAGGAAGCCTGGCTTCAGAGCCCGTGCTCACAGGCACTCTGTTTGCTTCTATTTAAATCTTTGAGAAATACAGAATCGTAAACTCACAAAATCTGAGAGCTCGAAGGGTTCGTTGAAGCAGCTTTTTCCAAACTCAATTTTGAAAGTAGTCTGTGAGAAAGCTTAGCAGATACTTAGGCTGAAGTTTGGCTCAAAATCTTCTAGATATTTCTAGTCTTTCAAGCCCCTAGCTCCAGTTTGCTCTTCTGCGTTGCAGGGATGACGTGCCATACTCTCCAAAAAGTGCCCGTCCATTTTTCGGGGTACTGAGCAGCAGAAATCAGTATTTCTAGCACATTCTTAATGTTTCCAAACCTTACTTTCAGTCTCAGATTCTACTTGGAGCTTTGCAGTATTTCCTATCATATCTCAGTCTTTCATTTCTTAGCAAACATATTACTTACACTTTGTACCATAAGCAATGGTGTGAAACAGAATACCCTGATGTAAAAAAAAGGAGCATTTAAAACAGATCTGAAAATGGGAAATCATATTCACTCACCTCTTTCTAGGGTAAACTTTGAGCACTGTATGTTATATGATGACAAAGCCAGCTTGTACAATTGATTGTCAGAGTTAGGCTGGTGCTGCTAGAGTAACTTATTGTTAATATTAAAATTCTTATTGGTTCGATTAATCATTTCTGAGGATTTCCAGCACAACATGTAATTTATTTATGTATAATTTATATCCCAACTGCTTTCAAAAGGGAGAGAAGGAAAGATGAAAGAAGTTAAATTTATTGAGAGTCTGTTGTGTAGCAGGCTACACAGTTGCATATATTTTCTTCTATTTATCATGACAATATTGTGAGATAAGAGATGCTATCTCTGGTTGATGAATGAAGAAAATGAGGCTCAGAAATGTCAGGCAGATGTCCTGGCCATGCAGAGAGTCCAGGTCTGTTTCTCCATCTGAACTCTGCCCTGCCCTAATTCCACTGCTCTGTCCTCCATTCCATGCTGGCTCCAAATGAGTCGAGGAAATGGACCATGAAGAAAACAGGTAAAAAGGACGATTTAAAATGAAGATAATAGCCATGTAGAAGACAGGGCAGGTGGGAAGCTAGGAAGGGATGGGTGATCAGGACAGAAACACGGGACAATTAGTATAACATATACAATGATTTAAAGATAAAACATTTAAGGAGAAAATGCCTAGAATTATCTTGGAGGTGTGTATGGGTTCGAGAAAGGTGTTGCTTCCATTTTACCAGTTTGTGAAAAATGTTTAATCCAGCTGGTTTCCCTTTTGCCTTGAAGGAAGCTCACATCTCAATTTTGTGCTCATCTAAGTAAACATCTTAATAAGTATGTAGTAATTTAGTAAGAGCTTTTTTGAAGCATGCTAAGCAAACATGACCAAGACAAGTTGCTTTTCTTTTAATAGTCTTTTAGTAAGAATCTCAGCACCTGCTTTGAGCCAGGTGCTGCTTGGAGCTAGGATGTAGCCACCCTTTTGTTTCTTGTAAAGAAACTGTCTTCCTCCACTAATGCCAGTTACATTACATATGCATCGCTCAGATGAATTATTAAGATGTTTTCTGATATGCCTTGTCTTGTTGAGATCAAAGGAACACCATTCCTCTGTGGGAAGAAGATGGGGCTTGCTTGGAAATAAGAAATCTTTTCCAACGTCAACCACTCCCATGTTCCATCATCCAGAGAAGTGAGTTTTTATACAGAAGACGCAAGCTGGGAAGACCCATCTCTCTTTGGGTTTGTTTTTCTTGGGTCCAGACTTCAAGGCATAGTGATACCACATGAATGCAACATCCAGAGGCTCAGAGTACTAGGATGTAGGAGTGGTAGGTCTCTGCACAAAATCCACAGGTCAGTCGGTATCTTAGTCTGTTTGTGCTACTACAACCAAATACCTTAACTGGGTAATTTGCAAACAGCATAAATTTATTGCTCACAGTTGAGGAGGCAGGATCAAGATGACTGCAGTTTTTGTGTCTAGTGAGGGCTCCACGTCTGGTGAAGGCTTGGACTCTGCTTCCAAGAGGGCGCCTTGAACACTGCATCCTCCAGAGAACACAAACACTGCATCCCTACCTGGTGGAAGGCAGGGACTAAAAGTGCTAAAAAGGGCCTAGTTCTCTCTGGCTCTTTTATAAGGCATGACTCTCTTAAGCTTCACAATGAATTTTGGAGGAGGCACAAGCATTCAAACCATAGCAATTGGTATGTGACTCACAGCTGATAATTTAGGTAGCTGATTTCACATATGTTGGAAGACTCTATCAAAGTCTAAGAGTTTGAACTGTTTCTCCTTATGCAGAGCTGGGAGGTGTAGCTTCTCTCCCACACTCTTGCACACTCCCATGCACAGACTTAAGGCATGTGTGTGCACATCCCAGTGTTGGCAAAGGCACGGCCCCTGCTCTCAGGAGTTGCTGTTACTGACCCTTTATCATCCTGAAAGCAGCCCTAGGGATAGTACCTTCT